AGTTAGGATGTAACGGGGTACAATCCAGTGTGCCCCATGTTACATAAAGAGTGACCCGTCACTCTTGTGAACACCTGGTAGACGGTACCAGGTGCTCTCGGAACCAGTCAGTGCATGACTACTTAGCTCCACTATAGGTAACCTCTAGTTTGTATGGGCCTAGTTTATCTTACTTATAAATACAGCAGTCTTAAAAATCTACTCTTCTAAGTAGCAAACCGTTCCCTTTGAGGCCGGGAACACGTGGACTAACGTTCACTCGGGTAGCTAATACCTATAAGCACTTCCTCTGTGCAAGGTGCTGTGTGACCCCGTGGGATCGCTTCCGAGTGGATTAAAGAACGTGTAATAATTATATCGGAGGTAAAAGAAAACGTGACAGATCAATATTGGGACCACCCCGCATGTCAACCGCGCATCACTAGTACGCTGTTCCAGGGGCTTACAGTGTGTGGGGCCCGGAAATATTGGGTGAATGATAAAGCCGGCAGAAATATTCAATTCCAATATTTGTAGAATTTCGATAATACCATGGGATTCAGCAAATTCATTCAGCGCAAGCAATCCGAATACTTAAAAAACATTAAACTAATAGTCCGATTTGGAGACTGCGTGGAGGTCTATACCTACCTTCTTAAATAATGATGCTATCAATTAGCTTAAATCACAATGCCTTTATTTTTAACCGGACTCGGTCGCCTTTTTTTCTATCTTGCTAGGGATAATGTATTTTTTTTAAATATGTTTCGTTATGCAGCTGCAAGGTTTTAGTACTTCGTAAAACCACAACAAATGAAAATATCCAATGAGTCGAACATAACTTATTAGCAATTAATTAATTAATTAATTAATTAATGCCACCGATTGCAGTGTCTGATGGCAAGGCCTCCACCAAAACTTAACTAAAATACTTTAACGATCTCTGGAACCCATACGTCATGCAATCCACGTAAAAGCTTTTTAAGCTTCTTCCTATTTAACGTACCAATCTACATGTAGAAACATTCCTTATGACGTGTTGCTCTAAAGTACTGCAGGGGAAAACTACAGTACTAGGTACAGCAAGACTGTCTTGCTAACGTTAAAGTTGAGTGAAGGATCAGCGGCGCTCAGATTTGCCTTCAAGTTTATCTGTTCTTCGTTGCGACTCTGCAGCACCCCGCCGCTACAGAGCTTCCGTCATAAAAAACATCGGTAACTTCATTTCATATACTTTTAAAGTGTAATGCTGTCCAGTGGCACAGTGACGATTACATAATAAAACCCCGTTATCACGAGAAAACATCAGCGTCACGATAGCAGACAAATGCGACTGGATGCTCAATGGAATGTGGCGAAGCTCGAGTACATGTAAGACCTACTGCGTTTGGCACACCTAAAATCAGTCGGTTGATGTGTCGCTACAGTTCAAAGGACAAAAAAAACCGATCCCAAGAATGGGCAAAATACAAAACTACACGTATAAATTCGCTATTTCCGAGAGCACCTGGTACCGTGTACCAGGTGTTCGCTCACAAGAGCGACGGGTCACTCTTTATGTACACTGGATTGTACCCCGTTACACAAATAAATGTATCAGAGACCCTGAGAAGGGAGCCCACCCTGAATAAGAGTGGGCTCTCTTTTTCATTGCAGCATGACCGTACAAAACAGAGCCATGACATCTAGCCGAGTAGGTCCTTGCTCAGCAGCTATCACTCGTTCATTTTCACTTTCGCACTCCACGTATTAGTCTCATCGCTGAGTAAAACCGCAGCAGTGAAGCAACACCATGCACCCCACTGGAATCGTCTCGCTTGCCCTTGTAGCCACCGCTGCTCCTCGGCCAATGCCCACGGCCAGATGCTTGTTCCGGACTACCGTCAAATCTCCGCGAAGTTCCGCAAGGATTCAGGTGCCCTCTCTCAGGCAGGCGACCAGGAGCTGCAATATGCGCCCGTCGAGAATCTATCAGGCCGCTCCCAGAAAGATTTCCCGGAGGCTGCGACCTTCAACCTCATGAACGGATGCCGCGGCACGGTGTACGAGGAGAAAAACAACAACGTCACTACCGGTACGTTGAAAGCGGGAGCTGACTTCGATGTCAAGTGGATCATCCCGGCTCCCCACCCAGGCTATATGAAGTTGAGTATCGTGAAGCCGACTGAAGGCTCCACTGGCAAGATCACATACCAAAACTACAAGACTATTCCAACAGTCGATCCGTTCGCCCAGAATGGCGGTGAGGATGGACTCCATCCTGGAGGATGTGACTGGGTGCGACAGTGCCGGAAACTGTGCCCTGCAATTCTATTGGCATTCGGATATCGCCAACCAGACGTACCCAACGTGTGCCGATATCATTGTGTCTGGCGGTGGTGCTGGAACCTCGACCACTACCAAGAAACAACTGCTCCGACGGCGATATCGTCGGAAACCTCCGATGCTGGTAGCAGCGCACAGACTACCCCTACGTCGAACACTACGCCTTCCGCGGAGGATTCGAATGACGGTAGCACTGCCCAGATCACCCCTTCAGCGACCACTACTCCGACGGCTACAACGGCAACCCCCGATGCTACCACCGCTCCATCACCCGCGACGACGGCGCCGAGTTACTCCCCCTCTCAAGCTTCTGTCACAGGTGATTCTGATACCAACAAATGCTCCCGCCGTATGCGTCGCCACTATATTTATTGGGCGAAGCAGTTCATGTGAGTCTTAAGATGTTTTGTAGCGTGTTGTCGATGTTAAAAGTACATGGATCGCTCCCTACATACCTCTTTATTTCAAGAGCTCATGAATGACAGCAACTTCCGAGCATTCATTCATGAGCCTTTGACGTGCGACACATTTGCTAAAGCTGCAGATCTTTTGGAATCAGATTCAGGACCAGACTTAATCCAAGCTTTTTGGGTGCCATCAGTGATGGCCATGCTTAAGCACTGTAGGTACGATTGCGTCGTGTCATGAGCGATGATTCAGCTGGTTTATGAGAACTTAGATCAGACGGTTCGTAAACAGATTTTCATGATAGACGCGAGCACCAAACCGAGGCCAGAGTAATTGTCTACTGTAGAGCGACAGCATCATGCATCTCACCGATTTAGCTAGTACATGTAGACCGCTTAAAACGGAATATACAGTATTATCCCGGCCACCAAACCTTGGACAAACTTTGGTCCAAAAAAGGTAACCCTTCCCTTCACAAAACCCATAACGATAGTTAGATATAAGGGGTAAAATCGGGCGTAGATTCCGATTTTGAGGTCTATTTTTGCGTATCTGCAACCATTGATCTCCCAATCGGCCGTTTAAAAAAGGCTCTATATCTTGCAGAATTGTTTGCAATTGTGGGCTTGGCACGTACTAACATGCATGCATATTCATTGGCAGAGCCGGGATAACAGGTGGGGATTTTCAGAACCGGATGGATAAATTCCAAATATTACCGCAATTTGACGATTGTTAGAAAATTATAAACTTGTTAAAAAGAACCCGTCAAAAGAATATCTAGAGTGTAAAGAACATACAACGGGTCACCCGTTCATATTCCTAATCGGCTACAGCTTCATTGTCATCGACGGCGTCATCCTCTTCCGTGTCCTCGTTGCTGCCCTCTGGTTCCGATGCAATTTCGCATTCATCACCTTGCTGCAGATATTTTGTCTCGTATTTCTGGAGGCCTCCCAGATGGTTTTGGACCTTCCATCTGTCATAATTAATTTGTCGACCACTGAAATGATAAATATCAATAATAACTGAAATGATATGAAGTACAGCCTACCGAGGTGAAATTCTTGTCGTGGTGCTGCTCCCAGTGCGCCCATATAGCTGAAATGGTGCCCGTAGCAAAGCCTAAACACTCTTTGACATGATAACGAACTCCTCCTTTCCATAGATGCGGTGCAGAGGCCTTCTTTTGGCGGAGGAACTCGTAGGTCTTCACAACCAAGTACTTCTCAGCAGCAGTCAATTTCTTACCGGCGACCATTTGAAAAGTAGTGAACATTATTAGATGCTGTGAAGTTCTTACGAGAATAAATAGACACCAAGCTATCTATTAAGGGGACACACAACGAAATCGGCTCTACGGTTGCGGAGTTACATTCCTCTAATTTAAGATAAAATATATTACCATTTTTGTCCAAGCCTTTTTGGCCGGGATAATAGCCGTAGCATTTACTGATTCAATCACCATCGTTACAGATTTGTATGTTATCTGATCTAACAGCAGCTGTATCCGAGGCACGCGTGATTCAGCTCAATAAAGGCATTTTTTATGCGCTGTTATAATAGGTGCATCATGCGTCTTGAGATTTTATTCCCGTCATCCGCTCCACTCGTTGACCATCTTGCTGTTCGATACTGTAGCTCAACCATTCGTCAATTCGCCCTCTTCGAACCGGAAAGCATGCTGTCAACAACAATCGTCTCCCTCGCGACCGCCGCCCTATTCCTGCTCGCTGGAGTAGACGGCCACGGTCAAATGCTTTACCCGACGAACAGGCAAATGTCCGAAAAGTTTCACAAGGACTCCGGCGCTCTGATCAACATCGGCCTTAACGAGATGCAGATTGCCCCTATTGAGGGGCTTTCTCAGCACAAACAGAAGGACTTCCCGCCTTCGCCGACATTCAACCTTTTGAACGGATGTCGCGGTACGGTGTATGAGGAGGGTAGCAACGTCACCACTCTTCAGCCTGGCAAGAAATTCGATGTCAAATGGACGATTCAGGCACCTCACCCAGGCTTCATGAAGCTTAGTATCCTCAAGCCGAGCGAGGACTCCAATGGTGTGATTACGTACAAGAAATACAAAACCCTGCTGACCATTGAGCCGTTCGCTGAGAACGGTGGTGATGGCAGCACCACTGCGAAGATGCCTGCTAATGTTAAGGGCTGCAAGAGTCCTGGTGACTGTGTCCTTCAGTTCTACTGGCACTCCGATATCGCCGACCAGACGTACCCGACGTGCGCCGATATCATTGTCCCGGGAAGTGGAGCTAGCACGCCTTCTGCACCTGCCGCAGAGACTCCCGAGGCTCCCACCCCTGCCACGCGTGCCCCCAAGGTCACGACTCCGAAGCCGACGACCGCCGCGCCTAAAGCTGCTACACCTGCTCCTGCTCCTGCGACGGCGTCTGCTGCTACCAAGGGCCAAAGCCAGGAAATTGGTGGCGAGGCTGAGAGTGGCAAGTGTTCTCGTCGCATGCGTCGAAACTAGAGAGATTTCTTATAAACTATACCACAGTAGATGTTAAAGTATTGCTGGAAGTCGAACCGGTCAATGCGAATTTATTTTTTGAAGTAATTGTACCACTACTTCTACTAGGTAGGCTGCCAACGGTAGGTGGCCTACCTGAAAAGACTGTCTTTGTAATGACGGCTCGAAGCACAACTACTTTTAAAGCTGCTCTGTCGTCTCGGGATGGTGACTTTGCAGTTTTTGTGACCTACACTGCGCGACAAAAGTATGCGGTTGAACAAGCCGAGCGGAGCCTCGCAAGCTGGGCTCCTTTTCTATTGCTACTAAGCGTATTCGCGCTTTGCTCACTGTCAGCGGAGAATGTCTTTATTTTGATAGCCGCTAGTAGTAAAAAGGATGAAACCTTTTTGATTGGAGCGACTCTCGGTACGCGTTCCGAGTTTATACCGTTCTGAGGGGTTCTCAAAACACCTTGTGGAGGTGTTCTGAAGTCGGAGCGAGTTTGCTGTCTCTGCCACAGTATATCCCGCTCTAAGTGCCCACTCTGTGTTTTGCTTTCTTGGCTAACACATTAACAGCTGTAAGTCAGCTTAGCGATTGACCGTCTTATTG